AAGGAGGGAAGATCTCCCACCTTATTTCCAGAACATGACAAAACTCTTAAAACTCTTGAACTGGGTAAGTACAAATGCTGTGGGATGGAGTCACGCACACATGTACCTGCCAAAGCTGGTTAAAACTTCTACTCCAAGGAACAACATTTGAGAGCTTCCTCAAGAAAACCAAGCTCTGGATGTCAGAGTCACCGCAGAGAACAGGCCCCCAGAGAGGCTGGCTCTTCATCCTGCTTTCTTCCCTCAATCCTCCCTGGCCCGGCCCAACTTAGAGCTCCCGGGGCTCTCTCTTCACAACACACAGAGGGAAGAACCAAAATGTGGCCTCACTTCATGCCCAGCACCCCGCAGGAGAAGCTGCCGACCCCACCAAAGCCTGGAAAGGGCCTGGCCGCCACTGGGACTCAGGCCCCCTCTTCCTCATCGCTCACAGCCCCTTCAGACAGGGCCAGGGAGGAAGCCAGCTGCCCGTGTCTGACCCGGAGCAAATACTCCAGCACTTGAAACTTGCTGGTTTCGGCGTGGGCCCTGGGACCCCACAGGAACTCGTAGCGGGCAGGGTCGCTGCCAGGCACCTGCCGGTACTCCAGGTACCCTTCCTGCACCCAGACTTTGGTGAGGAGCTCCCTGGGCTCCCCATAGATGATGTGCTCTTTGCCAGCATACACCCCCATGACCCCCAGCACTTCCCACACCTCCCCCTCAGGGGCACAGTCATCCTCCACGAGGATCACCCCCAGTAGCAGCCCCAGGAGGCTGGTCTTGGGCATGCCATGCTTACCGCTCAGCATCCCATCACAGGTGAGACCCAGGACGTTGACCAGGACATAGGAGTGGTCGCTGGGGTCCACTTCCTTTATGTCCATGCCAAAGACCAGCCGCATGTACTCAGAGGCTTGGCCCAAGATCACCGGGAAGTCGTCCTGGTAATCTTTGCTGACGATCTCCAGCATCTCTGCCTGGCGGGTTGGCTGCTTGTTGCGGTATTTGAGGAGCAGGAACCCCACCAGGGCAGCCACTTTCACGTGGAGTTTGTCCTGGAGAGAGGGTTGGGTGACTTCCGGCTCCTCCCAGGTGCTCGACCCCTCCTCATCTAGGCTGCTGGAGCCCTGGTCAGGCTGGCTCCAGGCCCTGGCTGCCTGGGCAGTGGGGGAGGGGCAGGCACTCTGAGGGCTCTGGGGAGGACTCAGGGACCCAGTAGCAGACCCCTCCCCCAGGGGAATCAGGAACAGGACAGAGCAGGAGGAGGAAGGGGAGGAGGAGGAGGAGGAAGAGGAGGAGGGGGCGTGTGGGGCCTCCTCCTCCCCAGCCCCGGACAGGTGTGCCTCCACCAGGCCCTGGGCCGGGCCTGGGTCTTCCTCCAGCTTCCAGAGCTCACTCCTCTGACCCAGGGGCATGGCGTTTGTGTCGGGCTGAACCTGAAGAAAGATGTGGGACGGGTCCTCAGGGTGCAGGCCAGGCAGCAGAGGCCTGAAGTCCCGCAGCTGACAGTGCGCTGCATCGGACTTGGGTGCTGAGGGGTCCCCTCTGGGTGGGATGGGCGAGCCCCTGGCTCCATGCTCAGAGCATGTACCTCACCTTGAACACTGGCACTCACCTGCACCTCCCCTGGTCTCTGACCTTAGAGACTCCTGCCTCAGACAGAGGCCTGGACTCTGAGTTCTTGGAGCCCCTGGAGGAGGGAAGGAGGGGGCACCTCAGGGTGCAGACAGAGCATGGCTGCAGAAGCCCAGTGCACACAGGAGGGCTGGGTCGGACTCTGTGAGGTCCCCATCAGTCCAAGCTGGGCAGTCCCCTCCTTGGCCTCTCAGGGGACTGCTATTTCCCCTGGCAGGGCCTGGGCCCCAACCCTGCAGCCTGAGGCCACAGGGTCACAGCAAGACCACGAAGCCCTGAGACTCCACAGAAGGTAAGCGAGGGGGCCCACCTCTGCCCACGCCTGCCAAAGGTCTAACGGCTCGTCACGGAATCCCAGGGATGGCCAAGCTCGGGTTCCGTCTGTGCTGGGATGGTGCACCTCTCCGTCTATACCTTGACCCCACGGAAGGCCTGGGAAAACTCCCTGTGTTGACCTGAGGCTACGTTCCTGGTGCCAAGGCCTCATCTCTGGGAGACACCAGAAGGAATAGTCTGGAGAAATCAGTCGGCCCACCGATCCCCCATCTCCCCATGGCTGACAGAAGTGGCAGAGTAGGCCTGGGCCCTAAGGATCCTGCTGTGGGAGGCATCCCCTCATTTCTCACCTTCCCCCCTGCCAGGGCCAGAGCCAGAGCCAGAGCTAAGGCACCTGCCTCCACAGCTGACCTAAGTCCAGACCCTCAGGCCCAGACCCTCCCTTCCCTGAGACCAGGGATCTGGGAAGGAGGAGGGCTCAGCCTGACAGGCCCTGCCCAGCGTTCCCAGGGCTGCCTGGTAGGGGCTGGCCAGATTTCCGGGCCATCCCTTCCTTGTCCTGAGGGGTGGGTTGGGAGCCACTCACTCCTCCCTCGGGGGTCCCCACATTGACTGTCGGCAGGAGCAGGGACTCCTGTGTGTCTCCCAGGTGGGCTTCCTCAGATGACCTGACCCCAACCTCTCCCAGCATGGTCCTCACCTCCCTGAGAGCTCCGAGAGGAGGGTGAGGAGGCAGCAATCCAAACCCTCCCCCTGCATCCCACCTAATTCACAATTACTCTCTCTCACACAAGAGTGAGATCGGGGTTGGCCCCTCTGTCCTGGGGCGGGAGTCCACTCTTTGTTCTCAAGGTGCTCATGTTTACTTTTGGCAGGACCTGGAACTATCCCTTCTCCTAACCACAGGATGCATCCTGCAGGCCGAGGCCACCATCCCACTGAGACCCAGAGGAGCAAGTGGGACATTTACTTTTCTTGACACCTGGCCTGGCCTCGCAGGACTGACCACTGGGGCAGGACTTCATTTGGGACCCCTATGTCTGGGTGGGTGTCTGCTCAGTCCTCTCTCAGGGTCTTGGGACTCCACCCTCTGCTGACCTGAGGCCACACTCCTCAGACCAAGGCTCACCTCCCTCAGACCCTGGGTACAGAAGTCAGGAAACACTTCAGCTGCTTCCCCCACCTTGGGGGACTTCAAAGAAGGAGCCCAAGGGCAACAAAATCATCGTCTGTTTCAGGCTCTAAGGTCCTCAACTCTCAGCCTGCATCCCTCCTGGATCCATCAAGACCTGGGGTCCTGCCCTCTGCTGTCCCGAGTCCTTTCCCCTCTGACCGCCCCGCACATCCCTGAGATCCAAGGCCAAATTCGGGGGTGTGACTCAGGCGGACAGCTGCTCAAGAGCCTCCCATCTATGACTCTGTCCTGGGGCCCGGGGTCCCCTCAGTTCTGAGTGTTCTCACCTGGATTCCAGCAGGAACTGAGTCCTCCCTGCTGCTGACCTGAGGATTTGCCTCTTACCCCAGCCCCCAGCCTCTCTGAGACCTGGATGTGGAAGTCTGGACACGCCACTCATTCTCCTCCCGCTCAGGGGCCTCCCAGGACCGACTCTGTTCTGGGGTCCAGGGTCACTCAAGTCCTCCCGCCGGGTCCTCACATCCAGTCCCATTAGCTCCTGACCCCAGGTTTTTTTTTTTTTTTTTGATGCAGTGTTCCATGATTCATTGTTTGTGCATAACACCCACTGCTCCACGCAGAACGTGCCCTCCTTAATACCCATCACCAGGCTAACCCATCCCCCAACCCCCTCCCCTCTAGAACCCTCAGTTTGTTTCTTGGAGTCCATCCTCTCTCATGGTTCGTCTCCCCCTCCGATTTCCCCCCCTTCATTCTTCCCCTCCTGCTATCTTCTTCTTCTTTTTTTTTTTTTTTAACATATCTTGCATTATTTCTTTCAGAGGTACAGATCTGTGATTCCACAGTCTTGCACAATTCACAGCGCTCACCATAGCACATACCCTCCCCAATGTCTATCACCCAGCCACCCCATCCCTCCCACTCCAGCAACCCTTCGTTTGTTTCCTGAGATTAAGAATTCCTCATATCAGTGATGACCCCCCGTTTTTTAAACCAGGCCCCCAGGCTCTGTCAGACCTGGATGCGGACGTCCTGGCACACCGCCTGTGCACTTGGCACAAACAGGCCTCCCAGGGCGGACAGCAGGGGCAGGCTTCAGTGCATTGTCCCTGTTCTGCAGTCCAGGTCCCTCCCTGAGCCCTCCCTCAGGGAGCCCAGCATGCGCCGCAGCACCGCTGGTGACCCTGTCTCTGCTGTCTCCGGGCCCCTTCCCTCTGACCAAAGCCCTCACTGCCCTGAGAGCCACGGGCAAGGACTGTGGGACGTCGCGTCAGGCTACAAAGTCCAGGGCTTCCCCGAGATGGGTCCTTCGGGTCCCTTAGCCCTATCTCTGCTCCCCATCTGGACTCCCTGGATGGCCGGTGCCCTCATCCCTGCTCCTGAGGGCCACTCCTCACAACAAGCGCTCAGTGTCTCTGGGACCCAGAGCAGAAGTCAGAACACGCCTCAGGTCACCGTTGTCTCGCCCAGAGGCCTCCCAGGACTGATTCCCTACTGGGTCCAAGGTTCCTCTTCTTCCCTCTGGTTCTCACCTTGACTCCTGACAGAACCTGGGCCCTCCTGCCCCCGCCCGCCGCCTGCCAACTAGAGGCCCTGCTCCTTACACCAGACCTCCTGACTCAGAGACCCAGAACCTGAAGTCCGGACCCGCGACGCATCCCCATACCCCAGAGATCTTCCTAGACAGACGCTATGGCCCAACCTCTGGGACTTCCTCAGAGTTCTGTCGGGGGTGTGACTCAGGCGGACAGCTGCTCTTCATTTGGGACCCCTATGTCTGGGTGGGTGTCTGCTCAGTCTGTCCTCTCTCAGAGTTCATACCTTGTCCTTCCTCAGAGTTCATACCTTGACTCCGGTCACTGCTGGGCCCTCTCCTCCGCCCAGCTGAGGGAGGCCCTGCTCCTTCTGCCAATGCCCCCAGCGTCTCTGAGACCCGGATGCGGAAGCACGGATTCACCACCTGCTCCCATCCTCCCTTACACCTTCTGTGACTGACTCTGGGCTGGGGTGCAGGGTCCCTCAGTCCTCCCTCTGCATCCTCAGCGTGAAGCCCAGCAGGACCGGAGCCCGCCCCTCTGCCCACCCGAGGGAGACCCTGCCCCTTCTGCCAAGGCCCCTGGTCTCTCGGGAGACCTGGATGCACCGGTCCGGCCGCCCTGGCCGCCTGGCCCCATCCCGCCCAGCGGCCTTTCCGGACTCACCCTGGGGCCCGACCTCGGTGAGGTCCCCTCTGTCCTGGGCTCCTGACTCCCTCGGTCCTGCCCCCGGTCGATCCCCACCCCATCCCCACCCGGACTCCCTGGGGCTGCCTGTGCCCCTGCCGCTTCCGGACCTGGCATCCTTCCCCTCCGACCAAGGTCCTAAGCTCCCTCAGACCTCCGAGGCGCATTTCACCGGACGACGCCACCGGTGGCCACCGTCCCCGGGGGGGCCCTCAGGGCCGGGCCGCGGCAGGGTCCGAGCGCTGGACCTGAGCGGGGAAGAGTGGCCTCCACAGTCCTCGCTCTGCCCCGGAACCCGCCCCAGGGAGGGCCCGGCCCGTCCATCTGGGGACCCGTGTCCAGTGCCCCGGGCCCCGGCGGGAGGGGCTCAGCGGGACGACGATATCACTTGCCGGGGTCTCTCGGGGCTGCCGGCATGGGCGACCTGGCTCCTGGGAGTCCCCCCCACTCTGTGCTCCCTCACGGGTGGGTCTACCTGCACGCCTGGCCTCTCCCGACCGAGATCCGTGCTCCCACTCACGGAGGTCCTGGCGTCTCTCAGGCCTCCGAGGCGGAAGTCGGCCCTCGTCACATCCGGACCCCATAGGAAGGGGTCCCCTAGGGCTGACAGCACGTCGGGCGGAGATGGGTTCCGGGGTGGGCTACGTGGGGGCAGGAGAGGGGACCGGGCAGGCCGGGGGTCCCTCGGTCCTCCCCGGGCTCCTCACATGGACCCCGCCCCGGAGGGTAGGGGGGCCCCACCCCCGGCACCCTGTTGAGCCCGAGCCTGTGCACCCCACACATAGGCTCGCACCCTGTCCCCCGCCTTCCCTGACACGGAGGCAGAGACTGGAGTCCGGCAGTGTCGCCACCCAGCTTGCCGGTGACCAGTTGCACAGAAGCAATCACGGAGACCCTTTGGTCACCTCACACACCCCCCCTCCATGGGCTGGGCCGGGGGCTAATCCACCGCAGTGCTCGCCCCGGGAGCCACACCCCCTCACCCTGGCTCCACTTCTTCTGTAGGTCTCAGGGCACCACTCCCCACCTTCCTGCCAGGAGTGCGGCTGTTAGACTCAGTCCCCTATGGCTGGGACGTGTCCTGCTTCTCCAAGTGTCCTCACTGCTCATGCACAGGGCCTTCCAGAGAGCAGAGCTCAGCCCATGACAGGGACTCAAGGAGCCAGTGAGCAGGGCTCCCTCTCTGCTGGGAGGCGGTTTCCCCTCCATTCTGGAAGAACCAGACCAATGCAGGAGCAGTTGTGTGCGAGTGCTTGCCTTTGGCATTTGCACAATGGTGGTCGGGAAGGCATCAGATGCAAGAACCAACAAACTTCTATCTCTCCAGCTTCTGAGCCCCGTCCCTTGCTTCTTCTGTTCTTATGCCTTTCCAAACCATCCCTAGACCAATGCCCTGTGATTTCGGTCCAGAGCCCAAACAAGTAGGCAAGGTGTCCAGGCTGGTGTCCAGGGCATGAAAAAAAAACTTTTTTTTAAAGGTATTTATTTATTTATTTGAGAAAGAGAAAGCACACATGGGGAGAGAGAGAAGCAGAGTCTCCACTGAGCAGGGAGCCCAACGTGGAGTTCGATCCCAGGATCCTGAGATCATGACCTGAGCCGATGGCAGATGTTTAACCAACAGAGGACGCAGGCGCCCCCAGAACATGATAAAACTCTTAACTCTTGAACTGGGTAAGAACAAATGCTGCGGGGTGGATGTCACCCACACAATCAGCCGCCGAAGCGGATGAAACCTATGGCAAGGAACCCCACAGGAGAGCTTCCTCAAAGACACCAAGCTCTGGATGTGGAAGTCATCCCAGGGAACAACCCCCCCCACCCCAGGAGGCTCCTTGCCCTGCTTTCTTCTCCCAACCCTCCATGGCCCTGCACTCCTTCAAACGCCCAGGACTCTGTCTTCATGCACGCTTGTGCACACACACACATGCACACACACACACACACACACACACACACGCAGGGAAGAACCAGCAAGCGGCCTCACTTCATGCCCAGCACCCCGCAGGAGAAGCTGCCGAACCCAGCAAAGCCTGGAAAGGGCCTGGCGGACCCCGGGGCTCAGGGCCCCTCTTCCTCATCTCTCACAGCCCCTTCAGACAGGGCCAGGGAGGAAGCCAACTGCCCGAGATTGACCCGGACCAAATACTCTAGCATTTGCAACTTGCCGGTTTCGGCGTGGGCCCTGGGACCCCACAGGAACTCGTAGCGGGCAGGGTCACTGCCGGGCACCTGCCGGTACTCCACGTACCCTTCCTGCACCCAGACATTGGTGAGGAGCTCCCTGGGCTCCCCATAGATGTCATGCTCCTGGCCGGCATACACCCCCATGACCCCCAGCGTTTCCCACACCTCCTCCTCGGGGGCACGGTCGCCATGCTGGAGGATCACCCCTAGGACCAAAACCAGGAGGCCGGTCTTGGGCACTCCCTGCTCACCGCTCAGCATCCCATCATAGGTGAGGCCCAGGACGGGGACCAGGATGTAGGAGTGGTCGTTGGGGTCCACTTCCTTCACATCCATGCCAAAAACCAGCTGCATGCACTCGGAGGCTTGGCCCAAGATCACAAGGAAGGCATCCTGGTCATCTTTGCCGACGATCTCCAGCATCTCTGCCTGGCTGGTCAGCTCCTTGGTGTGATACTTGAGGAGCAGGAACTCCACCAGGTCGGCCAGCTTCCCCTGGATTATGTTTTGGAGCCCCGGCTGGGGTTCTTTGGGCTCCTCGCAGGTGCTCGACCCCTCCTCATCGGAGCTGCTAGAGCCCTGGTCAGGCTGATTCCAGGCAGTGGCTGCCGGGGCAGTGGGGGAGAGGCAGGCAATCAGAGAGCTCTGGGGAGGACTCTGGAACCCAGCAGCAGACCCCTCCTCCGAGGGGACCAGAAACAGGGCAGAGCAGGAGACAGATGGGGCGGTGGACTGGGAGGAGGCTGAGGTGGAGAAGGAGGAGGGGGCGCGGGGGGCCTCTTCCTCCCCAACCCCCGACACCTGTGCCTCCACCAGGCCCTGGGCCGGGCCTGGGTCTTCCTCCAGCTTCCAGAGCGCACTCCTCTGACCCAGGGGCATGGCGTTTGTGTCCGGCTGAACCTGAAGAAAGAGGTGCGATGAATCCTCAGGTTCCAGCCCAGGAAGCAGAGGCCCGAAGTCCCAGAGCTGAGTGCACTGCATCGGACTTGGGTGCTGAGGGGTCCCCTCTGGGTGGGATGGGCGAGCCCCTGGCTCCATGCTCAGAGCAAGTACCTCACCTTGACCACTCGCACTCACCTGCATCTCCCCTGCTCTGGGAACTTAGAGGCTCCTGCCTCAGAGCTAGGCCTCAACTCTGAGTTCTTGAAGCTGCTGGAGTAGCAAAGGAGGAGTCACTTTGGGGTGCAGACACAGCACGGCCCCCGGCCCTCAGTGGGGAAGGAGGGCTGGGGCGGACTCGGTGAGGTCGCCATCAGTCCAAGCTGGGCGGTCCCCTCCTTGGCCTCTCAGGGGACTGCTATTTCCCCTTGCAAGGCCTGGGCCCCACCCCCGCAGCCTGAGGCCACAGGGTCACAGCAAGACCACGAAGTCCTGAGACTCCACAGAAGGTAAGCGAGGGGGCCCACCTCTGCCCACGCCTGCCAAAGGTCTAACGGCTCGTCACGGAATCCCAGGGATGGCCAAGCTTGGGTTCCGTCTGTGCTGGGATGGGCGCACCTCTCCGTCTATACCTTGACCCCACGGAAGGCCTGGGAAAACTCCCTGTGTTGACCTGAGGCCACCCTCCTGGTGCTGAGGCCTCATCTCTGAGAGACATCAGAAGGAAAAGTCAGGAGCATTAACTTGGCCCACCGATCGCCCGTCTCCCCAGGGCTGGCAGAAGCGGCAGGGTAGGCCTGGGCCCTAAGGATCCTGCTGTGGGAGGCATCCCCTCATTTCTCATCTCCCCCCCACCATCAGGGCCAGACCCAGAGGCAGGGCACCTGCCTCCTCTGCTACCTGAGTCCAGACCCTCAGGCTCGGGCCCTCCCCATCCTGAGAGGAAGGATCTGGAGAGGAGGAGGGACTCAGCCTGACAGGCCGCACCCAGGGTTCCCAGGGCAGCCAGGTAAGGGCTGCACAGATTTCTGGGCCATCCCTTCCTTGTCCTGAGGGGTGGGTGGGGAGTCACTCACTCCTCCCTCGGGTGTCCCCACATTGACTCTCGGCAGGAGCAGGGACTCCTGTGTGTCTCCCAGATGGGCTTCCCCAGTTGACCTGACCCCGACCTCTCCCAGCATGGTCCTCACCTCCCTGAGAGCTTCGAGAGGAGGGTGAGGAGCCAGCACGTCCTCGTCCATGGCCACGTCTCCATCCCCCACCCTCAGCCCCCCGGCAAGATCCCAAAGGGCCGGTAAGAGGGACCGGCCCCTCTGTCCTGGGGTGGGGATGCCCTCAGGCCCCCAGGACGCTAATCTTCTTTCTTCCTGGAGGGCCTGCCCTTCTTCCAGGTCCCCAACGTGAGACAGAAGCCATGTGCCCCTGAGACCAAGACCTTGCTCCCCGAGGACTCCCGCCTTCTGGCCCATGAGACAAGTGAGCATGCGTGCCAGGTTGGGCCCCCGCTGACCGATCCTCCCTGAATCGGGCCCGGCCAGACTCCGGTGCACTTTGCTTCTTTGCTGAGATGGTGTGGAGGGGGTACGGCCAGTCCTCCCCCAGGGTCCTCACTCTGACTCCCAACCGGACCTGTGCCCCGCTCCCCCCGACCCCGCCCTCCACCCTCACACACACACAGGCCCGCTACACCCCAGGCCCGCTCCTTCTCACCACAGGCCCTCAGTCTCTAGCAGCCACATGTGGGCCTCCAGATAGGAGGCATGGGCTCCTCCTCCACAAGGGTTCTCCTCCCTGGCCTGAACGTACTGCGGCCCAGTCTGTCCTCCCTCTGGTCCTCCCCTTCCATCCTGGCAGGACCGGGGTAGGCCTGGGCAGCCCTGAAGCCTGCTCCTTCCACCCAGACCCCAGGCTCTAGGAGACGTGGCTGGAAGTCAGGGCACGCCCTAGGTGACCATCTGGCCCTGGGGCCTCCCGGGACCGAATCTGTTCGCTGTCCCCATTCCCGCAGTCCTCCTTCTGGTCCTCGCTTTTCCACCCAGCAACACATGGGCCATCGCCCCCCACCCCCATACTTGAGGCAGTGCTCCATCCAAACACCATGGGGTCTCGGAGGCCCTGAGGCCAAAGTGGCCACGCACTGTGTGGGCTCATGCATCCCAGGAGCCTGAGGGCTGCTGGAGTGGTGGGGGGGTGGGAGGGAGGGGGTGGCTGGGTGATAGACATTGGGGAGGGTATGTGCTATGGTGAGCGCTGTGAATTGTATAAGACTGATGAATCACAGACCTGTACCTCTGAAACAAATAATACATTATATGTTAAGAAAAAAAAAAAAAGAAGATAGCAGGAGGGGAAGAATGAAGGGGGGGAAATCGGAGGGGGAGAGGAACCACGAGAGACGATGGACTCTGAGAAACAAACTGAGGGTTCTAGAGGGGAGGGCCGTGGGGGATGTGTTAGCCTGGTGATGGGTATTAAAGAGGGCACGTTCTGCGTGGAGCACTGTGTATTATGCCCAAACAGTGAATCATGGAACACTGCATTAGAAACTAATGATGTAATGTATGGTGATTAACATAACAATAAAAATTTGAAAAAAACCAAACCAAACAAACAAAAACAGCTCCCAAAACAGACCATTAATTTGGTCTTCTTGGATTTTGTTTCTTTTTAGTTTAAATTTCATTTGTTTTTGATTAATCTTTATTTTTTTCTTTCTACTGGCTTGGTTTTCGTTTTTGTTTTCCTGGTTCCTTTAAGTGTAATGTTATGTTTTTTATTTGATATTTGTCTTGCTCTGTGATGTATTCCTGTATAGTTATAATGTCTCCTCTTAGAATAGTTTTGCTGCATTCCAAAGATTTTGGATCATTGTAGTTTATTTTCATTTTTCTCCATATATTTTTTGATTTCCTTTTTTATTTCTTGTTTCATCTATTCAATATTTGGTAGAATGTTATTTAGCCTCCATGTATTTGTGCTCTTTCCATCTTTTTTTCTTGCAATTACTTCCTAGTTTCATACTATTGTGGTGAGAAAAATGCATGATACAATTTCAATCGTTTTGAATTTGAGACTTTTTTGTGGCCTAACATAGGATCCATTTTGGAGAATGCTTCATGTACTGGAAAAGACTGTGTATTCCAATATTTTTTAAATGAAATGTTCTGAATATATCCAGTAGGTCCATCTGGTGTATCGTGTTATTCAAAGTCATTGTTTCCTTGTTGATTTTCTGGCTAGATAATCTATCCATTGATGTGAGTGAGGTCTTGGAAGTCCTCTATTGTATTACTGTGATTACCTCCCTAATGGCTCTTAAGAGTTGCTTTATGTATTTCAGTGCTCCTATATTGTGTGCATAAATATATTTTTTTAAGTTTTCTTGTTTCTTTCAGCACTTTTAATGTAACATGCCACACCTCTCTGGCCTGCAAAGTTTCTAAGAAATTTACTGATAGTTTCATGTCATTTCCCTTATATGTAACTTTTCTTTTCTAGTGCTTTTTTAAATAATTCTCTCTTTATCACTACTTTTTGCCATGAGGTGTCTTTGTTTGCACTTCCTTGCGTTGATTTTTTGGGGGAAGGGTTTCTTTGTGCCTCCTGGAGCTGGATACCTCTTTCCTTCCCCAAATTAATGAAATTTTCAGCTATTATTTCGTCAAATAAATTTTCTGCCCCTCTTTCTCTCTCTCCTTCAGGATTCTTTATAAAGTGAATGTTATTAATCTTGATGATATGCTGAGTTCCCTTCACCTTGTCACATACTTTATTATTCTTATTTTCTTTCTTTTCTGCTGTTCATCTTTGTTGTTTTCCATTAATCCTTCTTTAGCTCCCTGATCCATTCCTCTGCCTCATCTTATATGCTATTGCTTCCCTCTACTGTATTTTATTTCAGTTACTGAGTTCTTTATCTAAGACTGGGTCTCTTTTCAATATGTTCTGTCTTTGTCTCACTGAGAGCCTATAGTCTTTTCTCAAATCCCATGAATATCTTATAGCCATTACTTTGATGTTATAACAGTCATATTGATTATTTCTGTTCATTTAGCAATTTGATGCAGTTTTGTCCTTGTTCTTTTGGGACCTATTCCTCCACCTCATTATTATGTGTAACCCTCTGTGCTTGTTTCCTATGTATTTGGAAAATAAGCTACATTTCTTGACCTTAACAGTCATGGCTTTTTGAAGAAGAGGTCCTGTGGTGTCCAGCAGCACAATGCCCCTGTTCACCAGAACCAGGTACTCTAAGGAGGTCTCTATGTGGATTGTGTGCACTTTACTATCATGACTGACTATAGTTTCCTTCAGTCCATTTGACTGCATTTGACCACTGTGCTTGTTACACCAAGAAGGTTTTTGACCCTGTGCTGTGAAGGGACCAGCCTGCTCCACCATGTGCTAGAAGTTGGAAGGTGTCAGCAGTCAGCAAAATGCCTGCCCTAAGCTCATGTGCAGGGGCTACTTGAAGGATGATATCCTTGCCGTGTGCCTTGAGGCTCCCAAAGTGGGCAGTAATAGCAGTCATACCTGCTAGGGCTGCCCTTGCACCGATTGGCAGTCCACATTTTCTGTGCTACTAGACAATATTTGCCTGCTGGGAGTGTGGACACACCTGTGTGCATGTGTATCTGTCCCTCTCCCCAGGGCAAGAGTCAGTTTGGAGTGTCACATCTCACTGTTGGGGCTGTTTGCAGCATGTTTTGTGGTAGGAGATGCTTTGGATGGACACCTGTGTAATGGGAGGGATTGGGTAGTGTGGATCTGCAGGAGAATGTGGGGGTGGAGTTCATGGTGCTACCTAGATAGATGAAGAGTGTTTACACTTGTTCCTGCACATGTGCTGCTATCTTGGCTTGGGGTCTAGGAGGAAATGGCACTGGTCAGCTCTTTTGTTCTTGGAGAAGTCTGCTATAGATCCACCCACACACATACACACACATACACCCAAGCGTGTTCTGGAAGTGGTAAATAAATCTCCTTTACTATGTCCCAGGTGCTGCTCAAAATGCTGTTCATATGCTCTTATGCTAGCACTTTAGGGACAGGGACTCAGTTTCTTCTTGCCCTCATGATCTTTCAGAGTTAAGCCTGCTAACTTTTAAAATACCAAGTGATTCCCAGCTGATTGTAAAAATTCAGAAAGTTAAGCCCCACTGTTTTTCAAAGCCATATATTACAGGGACCCATGATCCTGATGTGGGTGACCCATCCTTGAGGCGCTTGCCGAGGGTTCTGATTCTCTCTTCTCCGTGATTGTAGTGTACCTCCTGCTTGTGGTTAGTCTCATGAAGGGTTTGGCTTCCAACTGCATCTCCGTTTCTCCTGACATTTTTTATGTGGCCTCCTCTCTATGAGTAACTAGAGAGTTTGTTCTGACAATCTTTGGGTTGTTTTCAGAGGTAGTTGCATGGATGTGTTTGTTATCTTGTGTGTCTCTGGGACTAAGTGAGTTCAGGATCCTCCCACTCTGCCATCTCCATAGAGCCTTAAGTTGGCAGTCTTTTTAAAAGTGAGCTTTTACCACTCTAAATTCCCTCTTAACATTGTCTTTCCTATATCTAATAAATTTTGGTACATTGTGTTATTTTCATTTTTGTCAGGATAATTTATAATTTCCCTTGTGTTTAATTCTTTGACCAGTTTGTTGTTTATGAGTATGTAATTAAATTTTCACATATATTCTCGATTTCCCAGATTTGCTTCAGCAAAATTAAATTTTTAATTTTATCTCATTATGATAAGAAAAGCTAGTTTGTATGACTTTACCCTTCTTAAAATGTTAATAAATGTTTATTGGTCTTATATAAGGTCTATCTTGGAAAATGTTCCATGTTCCCTTAGAAATTATGCCAAAATTTCTATATATATTTAATATCTCTGGGTTTTGGTATACATATATTTATAATTGTGAAGTGTCATTGTTATTGTTATGTGTCCTTTTCCTTTCTTACAGTTTTATTTTTGTGTGAAATTAGTATAAATATAAATTAGTATAAATCAATCGGTTACTACTTCAGCACAGTCTTTTTTTTTTTTTCGTTTCATTAACAATCTATCAACCTCTGTCCTTAGAACTAAGGAGAGTATCCTGTAGGCAGCATAGTTATTTTCTCTTTTTAAATCCATTCCATTCTGTCAATCTTTATCTTTTGAATGGGACATTTAATATGATTACTGGTAGGAAAATAACTCAATGCCTTTTTGTTAAGTGTTTTCTTGTTATAGCTATTGCTGT